ATCCATGCAAACATGTTAAAGCTGTTTAGTTATCATGCATTTAAAAAGATGAATTGTCACCAAGCACGAGAGCTGCAGCCCAGCTGTGTATTGGTATCCTTACTTTTATTTCAAATGTAAATCTATCAAAACACATGAAGTCTAAAAAGAAGGACCCACGATTAAGCACTATTGCTTCCCCTTTTCACTAGTAACGCATCCTCTGCATGTATTTAGATTTTTGTTTGTTTCTTTAACATGCCGATTTGATTTGACGCCACCATCTCAAACTGTGCTCATTCAGTTGTATCAGAGCCTTTTGATGGATGATCATAACTTGAAAAGAGACACCCTATGTATATTTCAAGCACTACAGTAAAGCATGTATGCCAGTCAGCTGAATTAGTCTTCTGTGTCAGGACCCGTGGAGAGTGAAGAGGAGGGTGGCGATCCAGACACCAGTGCGGGGCGTTTTGTCAGATACCAGTTTACACCAGCCTTCCTAAAACTCCGCACGGTTGGTGCGACGTGAGTAAATGGACTACAACGGTGTGACTGCATCACGATCAGCCTCGGGTGTCTATTTAGTTTCTTAATTTGTCTCTTTTCCCCTCTCTGCAGAGTGGAGTTCACAGTGGGTGACCGCCCCATTAACAGCTTCCGTATGATTGAGCGGCATTACTTTCAGGGACGCCTTCTGAAGAATTTCGACTTTGACTTCGGTTTTTGCATTCCTAACAGCTGCAACACATGTGAACACATTTACGAGTTCCCGCAGCTTCCTGACGACCTCAGTAAGTTCTGCTCCTTTTTGTTCATATTACCAGATCTGTATATCTTTATTTCTTAATTGATGGTGTGTGCCCTTCTCCTTTTCTAGTTCGTCAAATGGTGGCACACCCTTATGAGACCAGATCAGACAGTTTCTACTTTGTGGATAATAAACTCATCATGCACAACAAAGCAGACTATGCCTACAATGGTGGTCTGTAATACCTGAAGGGGGGGCGTGTTTAAAAAGGATGCAGTAGCTCCCAGGAGACCGATTTTCTGGATTGTGCCCCTCAATAAATGGGGCAGAGACAGAAGTATTCACTCTTTATCGGAATAAAGCACCATAGTTTAAAAAAAGGAACAGAAGCAGGAAAAAACCCAACCATATCTGCCTTCATATGAAATCATGGATCAATTCATCAGTACCGAACAGAGCTCAGTTTCTGGGAGTCCGAGAGAATGTTTAATTCAGTATTTCGCTGTTATATCTGACTGAAACCTTTCTGTTCTCCTTTTGGATTGTCATACATGTGTAATGTAACTGCTTGAACACTTTTGCCTTAATTTCCTGCTGTCTCTGCTGGAAAGGGACAGTTTTGAGTAACACATCTATAGTGGTAACGTCTGTAGACTACGTTAGTTTTTCATTTAATTACTGATGTAATAAGTTTGTTTATTTTTGAGCTGAACTACCGTTTGCAAGTGACAATTGTGTTTCCTTTATGGAAAAACAAGCATTATGGAGGTGTTTCGGTCTTGCTTTATCAATAGATGTAGCATTAGTATTTGTTTGATTCTTCCTCAGATGTGAGTTGAGAGCAGTTGCTACTGTTTGTCAGATATTTAAGCTTGGTGTCCGTTTTATGAAGTACAAGATGACCAGTTTCTTCTTTGGTAGAATATCCCTTAATTCGAAAATGGTCGTCTCCCTTTTCCTGTTTTGTTTTTGTTTGTTTGTTTGTTTTAAATAATTCCAGGTGTGATGTTCATTCTGCTACAATCGGTTAGATTGTTATAACAAAAGTTTTCCCATGTCTTTGTTCTATGAAAACTCTGGGATAGATCTAGTTACTAGACTTTAAATGTTTTTCTTTTATGTGCCGTCCATGTTTAGAAGTGTTTTTCTGCCTTCTTTGTACAATTGCATAGTTCTTTCATCCTTTGTTTATTTGTCACAGCAGTGCTGTGAATCCCACTCTTTAGCAGCGTTTGGCCAAACATGTGGTATACCTATTGAACTGTTAGTACGCTCTTCTCCTTTGAGATTGCCTTCTCAGTTTACTAATGAAATACCACAGTAGCACACAACTTGACAGTACAGAGGGAGGTAACTTGGTAGTTGGATCTATTTTTAATGAGGCACTGGGGTAGATGCAGTCATTGACCTGTTTGACCGATGATACTGGTGACTGTGCAAATTTTAACCCATCTGTGTACGAATAATGTCTTTTTCAAATTTTACACCAGTTTTCCAGTGTGCACAATTTCATGTGATGCCAGTCCTGCTAGAAGGAATACCTTACTTACTGTGATGCTCTGAATTGCATTATGCTGAAAAGTTGTCTGTAATTTATTCAAAACGGCAGCAGTTAAGAGTTTGAAATTGGGCTCCACTTGCAGAGTGATTTCCAGGTGAAACGTGGATTTCTCTTCATAGTTGGGTTTTGTTTGAATTTATGTTACTGAAATGAAAACCTGCAAGGCAGGAGATAGTAATGAAACCTTGCAAATGGTTGTTTAAAGTGTATTTGTTAATTTGCATTTCAGCCATGCATACACACATCAGGACTTCTTCCTACTGTACTGTTATTGACTCTATGTGCCTTGAATCCAGTTTTTTTTTTTGTTTTTTCACCTTTAATGTGCAGAAGTCTCCTTTTCCTGTCCACTCGTGGCAGTAAGCTGAAGGGATGTAAAATTGCCTCCTGATGTTCTTTTTCTGTATTCTTGTAGCATTACCTTCTATAAAACAGGATGATTACAGTGAGGAAGAGTCAGTGACAACATATTATGCAGTCCGTTAATACCCACAACAAATGGGATATCACATTAGGCACCCTTTTGTCAACTGTGCCCTTTTCTTTTTTGTCCTATGCTGGACTTCATGGACTCTTTCTGTGTCACCTGCTGCATGGTCACCAGTTTTTATATTGGCTAATTTTGCTAATGTTCATCTTATCCAATTTGTTGTAAATAAATAAAAAAAATGGGTGAATGAATGAGATGGAAAGTACTTTATTTATCCTATGTTTTGGAAATTCTTTAAAATTAATATTTTATTAATATCTGACAGATGTCTCTGTGCCAGGCAGATGTATTGTGTTACAAGAGATCATAACATGTGGTGGGAAAGTTTAACTGTTTGTCCTCTTGGCAGTAGAGCTGAATCAGTCTGTTAGAGAAAGTGTCCGTGCTCCGGTAGGTCAGATGCTAAGCCCATCACCATCTCTCTGGTTTTATTCACATTCAGGAGACATTTCCTTCCAGATCACTCTATGAAATCATCAAGTAGTGCTCTGTACTACTCCCCCCCCCTGCTGCCATCACTACTAGAGCTAAACACTGCACAGTCTTTGTAGATGGCATCACAGGGTTGTACTGAAAGTCTGAAATATGAGCAATGACAAAGTCCTCTGTGGAGCTCCTATACTGCACATCACCAAATCAGACACAGCACTGCCCAGTCTCACATATCACAACCTCTCTTGTCAGATTGTCACTAATCCATGCTAGATTACTGATGGTGGATATGCTTACTGACATTTCCTGGAGCTTCTCTTTCTGAGTCGTGTTAATTGCTTTGTCTAAATTGCAGTAAACTCTGTATCATGTTGTCGATTTATCCACTACATGATACATGATTAAGTTCTATGCAACCTGCAGGGTAAAGTTATGTTTCCACATTTGTTCTGAGGTGTGCCAAGACTAGTCTCTCTCTCTTAGTCTCAATATAAATGAGTTATAAGGGATGTTGTTTTTCCACCTTGAAACTTGAATATCACATTGTAAGTTTGCTGAACAAAATGCATACAAGGTGATGTGCTTGTGAGACCTGTCCAAGTTAGAGTGACCATGTGTCCTACTTAATGTGGGTCTGCACAGAATTCCCAAATATTGAGACAAAAATAAACACACCTCATAAAACCCCAAACATGCCATGACCCACTGAATAGTTTTGATAGTGACTCTAGGAAAAAGGAAGAAAACAGGACCCAGAAATGTAACTCTGATTTCCATTTGAAAAGTAATTTGAAAATAATATTTAACCCTGATTTACCACCGTTTCTTAAAACGGAATGAAAGTAGTGATGAGTCTGAGAACGCTTTGGGGGTTTTTTCTCACCTGGGTAACAAAATACATTACCCAGAATCCTCTGCTGAAAACACAACACTAGTAGCTGCACATGTGTTTCATCATGGCGGCCCCCGCTAAAAAGATGGTTGGGGTTTCGGACGACTCCAGCAGCAGTGACGACGAAGTACTTAAAAGATGTCAGGAGGCGGTTTGGGAGACGAAGGCTGTCAAAAGCAAAGGTTAGTGTTTGCCTCCTCTGTTTGAACCGAGGGGCCAAGCTAGCATACGTGCACCGCTAGTCGTTCCCAACAGGTACCCCGGAGAAGTTTCCACAATATTTATAGTCCATGCATAAAGAGCTGTCGGTCAGTAACATTTTCTAATGAAATTTATTTAATTGGTTACAAATAAACATTACGGTAAGACTCTAAGAGCATAGCGCAGCTTTAGCTAGCCCCTGAGCTTGCTAAATCAACACAGTGCGCGGGTTTAATCAGCTGCAGTGTAGCTCTGTTAAAGACGCTAACTCTCTGTGTTTTAAGATGCGGATGCCAGTGTGAAAGAGTCAAAGCGGTAAGTGTTACCTTTTAAAATATCCATTTGCTTCTTTTAGTGTTAAATATCCGTCCAAGTGTGAAAACTGCTTCAATGTTCCAACACAATACATTGTTGTTCCTTTCACTATTGCACAGGAGGGAAAATGTATGGAAGGTTTAGAGTATTTCCAGATTTGGTTGTTTGACCCACAAAGATGTAACACGCTGTTGTTGTTGTTTCACGCACAAAAGCTCTGTATGTGAACTTTGTGTCTTTCCAATGTGAGCAGTAAATTGTAATGATATTAGATTCAATTAATGTGAAAAAAAAACCCCCAGATGTACTTAAAATTAGTTTTTGTAAGCTATGACTATCCATCTGTTCTGCAAATTAATCTCGCATTGCGTAATAATAATTTGTTGGTTCAAGTTAATGTTTTTAACTCGAATCAACCCTGATTTCTTTATTTTTTGCTTAGAATTGTTTAAAGTAGTCTTGAGCAATAGTTCTTCGGGCTTTTCAGAAGGTCTTTCAGTGTTTCTTTGGACATTGGTTACTTTTTCACTCACTTTCAGTTCAGTCATTGTGCCTGATCATTTTCAAAGGAATGTTGTCTTTCCTTGTTTGTTTGTTGAGCCACTTAACACTGATTAACACAACATTGTGTCTTTAGGCACTTTAATAGCAGCCTGTCACAAAAACACATTACTTGTTACCATTTCTTTAGTTGAAACTATGAAAAATCCCCAAGAAAACACAGTTTGGCAGCCACAAAATAATATTTTTACGCCAACAAAGTGATTACTAAAAAGTTATTGGCCAAAAACTTGGCATGGTTCATAGCGTGTCTTTAAAAAATACGAGTAGATGAAACAAATGGAGAACTAAAAATATCTACAACAGATGAACAGTATCTGAAAGTTATGCCCTTAAAAACAGGAAAACGTTTAGCAAAGACCTGACCTGAGTGATGCCCCTCTGTTGATCCATCTGTTGTTCATGAAGCCTTATAACAAATGGTCTCAGTGGAAGTGTGGCTGTCAAGAACCCATGCTAAATTACACAAGAACTGGACTGAAAATCGTTGGCAACAGATCGGATGGAGGGAAGAATCCAAATTTGAATTTTATTGTTCAAATAATTGTTAATATGTACGGAGGAGGTCAGGAGAGAGGTACAGCAGTGAGTGTCTATGCAGAGGATTTGGGGGTTTTGGGCAGTGGTGTTGGGGATCTTGTCAAAATTGGCAATGAAGTAAAACTTGCATAATTAAGAAAACACACAATGGGACACTATCAGTCGTAGATTGAGGCCAGACCATAACATTAGTGAAAGAGTGTGAGAGAATCTTGCAGAAACATCCAAAGAGCTTTAAATGTCCTCCAAGAAGCCTGGAGAAATATTCCTGCAGATTACTGAAAGAAAGGGCAGAAAAAGCTGCCTGAGAGTTCAGAGTCAGAGGCTCGAAACTTTTGCAAAAGGCTGTAGATCCTTTATCTCGGTAGGCAAGTACAGAGGTATCTGTTTTTTGTTTTGTTTTTTTATATCAATGTCAGAAATAAAATAAGCTTCATAAAGTTTTTTGTATAACAGTCTCGTTGTCGCTGACCATGAACATGACGGCAACGAGCTCCAGGTCACGCCAGGATTCCAGACGCATGTTGCCAGAAAGTTAGGACACTTTCTTGACAGGTAACGACTCTGACTACAAAAAAACAAAACAAAAAAAACCTTTTGTTTATAATAATTGATAATCATAAGATTATCTTATTAACCATTATATTTGCCTGTCAGTTGTATTTCAGAGATAAAGCCTCAAACTTCATCCTGTTTAGAACCAGCTAAATGTAACAAAGATGAGGAGGAGGAGGAGGAGGAGGAAGGTAAAGTTTCTGGCTCTTTAAGAAGATTTTGTTTCTATGGGAACTTGTGTTCATCTCTTTAAACCTGACAGTTTTCTTCTTCTAGGATTTCGTCTGTTTTCTACATCCGTCCCAGGAAAGAAAGCTGAAGATCCTCCCGCCCCCGTAAGGCGTCGGCCTGCTCCCAGCTCAAGGTTCTTCATCTCTATTAATGTTTTCTTCCTTGTGTTATTGATTCATTTTTATTTCCCTCCGTATGACATTCTTTCTCTCTCTGCCCGTTTCAGCGACAGCGATGATGAGATGGAAATGAGGCTGAAAGAGGCAGCGGTGTCTGTCAAAGATCTGTTACCCTCGTTGGTGCTCTCACCCCCTTCGATGGAGTCTCCTTGCTCGGTAAAAATGACAAAGACGAAGAAGAAAGATACAGAGGGAGAAGAGAGCCGCGTTAAGAAGAAGAAGAAGAAGAAGAATCAGGAGGATGGGGAACAGGTGGACTCAGATTCTACTCCTGATGCTCAGAGTAATGGTGAGCTCACAAACTCAGAACAGGAACACATGCAAGTCAAAGTAAAACGGAAAAAGAAGAAGAAGAGGCAAGAAGAAAACGCAGAGGAAGAAGCATCGCACTGATTTTTTTTTTTTTTTTTTTTTTAAATGACTTTCTGCCACGGTGAATTCAAAGATTTAAAATATTTTTATTCAAAAGCTGGGATTGGTCTTTACTTTGTCATTAATGATGTTTA